ATATAATAGGCTTGTTTTTGTTTGTGTTTTGATCGATCACGCCTTTAAAAGCTAAATTATAAGGTGAATTTTGAAAATAAAAACTGTCAGCAGCCATAATTAATTAGGACTACGTTATGTTTTTTTTAATATATATAATCCACTCCAGATAGTCAAGCAAAAACAAAGATGCTTCAGTGCGTTTTTGCACAAAAGGTACAGCCTGGGCGATTTCCTCTCCTGCAATGTGTGCAGGGTGGGATCAAGACAAGCTCTGCATTTGTCTGATTTTTTTCCCCACACAGTGCGCTGAATATGCTCCTCTCCTCCTCTTTCATTAAAATAAAGAAATGGAGGGGTAGATAAAAAAAAAATCCAGCTCGAACCTTGGCTGTTGTGGAACTCGCTTCCATTTGACGCGTAAAAATGCGTCGTTTGTCAAATGAAGGCTGCTGCTGCTGTTTTTTTTCCTCCCTGCTTTTTCCTTTTTGATCCAGTGAAATTCCGAGGCCACCGAACAGAAAAATGCAGGTCTGTCTGTGTTCAGACGGAGAGCTCTCAGCCTCCCGAGCCGCTCCAAACGTTCCAGCTTAAAAAGCAAATAAGTCATTAAATGACYGCCAGAGGAGAAGAAGTGCTTATTAAATTCTAGCTCGAGTTAAGTGCTGTTGTTTAGGACACTGATGAGTAAACGAGGGCGCTTTTTTTTCAGAGTTTATATTTGTATTTTTCTCTATAGGTGTGATGAGACAAAGAGACAAAGGATGCCTTAGAGAAGAGGTTGCCTGTAAGCCTGGAAACCTCTTCAAAGCGCACCACCAAATGGATCAGACACCTCCCCCCGCCACCTCTAGATCATGATACTTGGCTGAAGCTATTCCGCTACATTTATGATCCCTCCTCCATCTATGGCGAACTATAGCCATGCAGGGGACCACACCATCTTGCAGAATGTCTCTCCCCTCGCCACATTCCTGAAACTGACCTCCCTGGGTTTTATCATTGGAGTCGGCGTGGTTGGGAACCTCCTGATCTCCATCCTGCTGGTCAAAGACAAGAGCCTGCACCGGGCGCCCTACTATTTCCTCCTGGACCTGTGCGCCTCCGACATCCTGCGCTCCGCCATCTGCTTCCCCTTCGTCTTCACCTCAGTCAAGAATGGCTCGGCCTGGACCTACGGCACGCTGACCTGCAAAGTGATCGCCTTCCTGGGGGTGCTCTCGTGTTTCCACACGGCGTTCATGCTGTTCTGCGTCAGCGTCACCCGCTACCTGGCCATCGCGCACCACCGCTTCTACACCAAGCGGCTGACGTTCTGGACGTGCCTGGCGGTCATCTGCATGGTGTGGACGCTGTCGGTGGCCATGGCGTTCCCCCCGGTGCTGGACGTCGGGACGTACTCGTTCATCCGGGAGGAGGACCAGTGCACGTTCCAGCACCGCTCGTTCCGGGCGAATGACTCGCTGGGCTTCATGCTCCTGCTGGCGCTCATCCTCCTGGCCACGCAGCTCGTTTACCTCAAGCTCATTTTCTTCGTCCACGACCGTCGGAAGATGAAGCCCGTCCAGTTCGTGCCGGCCGTCAGCCAGAACTGGACCTTCCACGGGCCGGGCGCCAGCGGGCAGGCGGCGGCGAACTGGCTGGCTGGATTTGGTCGCGGCCCCACCCCGCCCACCTTGCTGGGCATCCGGCAGAACAGCAACGCAGCGGGCCGCCGGCGCCTCCTGGTGTTGGATGAGTTCAAAACGGAGAAGAGGATTAGTAGGATGTTCTACATAATGACGTTTTTCTTCCTGGCGCTATGGGGGCCCTACCTGGTCGCCTGCTACTGGCGGGTGTTTGCAAGGGGACCCGTGGTCCCCGGAGGCTACCTGACCGCGGCCGTGTGGATGAGCTTCGCCCAGGCTGGGGTCAACCCTTTCATCTGCATCTTCTCCAACAGGGAGCTGCGGCGCTGCTTTAGCACCACGCTCCTCTACTGCAGAAAATCCAGGCTACCAAGGGAACCCTACTGCGTTATATGATGGTTTTGCTGGAGTTTTTTAATCGTCTGTGTCTCTAATACCCTGATTGATCTTGATCTGGGCTTGTTCCTGTTGTACAGCGCACTCTCTATCTCTCTCTTTTTCGATATCCTTTCTCTTTATCCCCCAGTTTACCCCCTCCTCCCTACTACTCTTCTCATGGCCCTTCACACGGCTGGACTGCCAGTCTCGTGGCTCTGTTGGGGTGATTAATTACAAAAAAATAAAAGAAAAGTCCATGAAACGTGGAAAAGGAATGGGAATACATAGGTGTGGATCCCCTCCTGCGTTTATGTTCTAGTAAACAGACACTGTGGAAGGCCATGCCAATGCAGAAAAGCAAAAAGTTTCCTCTTTTTTTTTGACAAAATACTGACAAGAAAACCTCTTGCTTTGGATAATTTGAAGATGCTTTACCTTGTGATGTGTGAAATACAAAAAAAAGATTAAAAAAACCGAGTATAAAACAAAGAAACAATACCTCTCAAGGAATTAATGGAAATGTTTTACAGTTTAAGAGTTGCACTAAAAAGAAGATGTAAAGATGCTTTTTTTTTTGGGGTTGTTTTTCTGTTTTTTGGTTGCCAACTGCGTATCGCAAGGACAACTTTTTCTCATTTTTCCCCCCCTCCCTTTTTTTCTTTTTCTCAAAACAAAACAATGAATGCTTTAATTTGCAACAGACAACACAATCGCTGTAAGTAAAAGCAAAACTTGTTGGGATTACACCATCACTGGAGGATAGGATGGTTTTAATGTAAGTGATATTT